ATTTTTGGCCCAAGAAAAAAAAAAAGTCTCCTTTAAAATCCAACAATCCAACACCAGTATTTTTAAAGAGCCTGTCTTTACTGCAACGCCCATCTCTGTGCAGAAAGAGAACGCTGCTGGTTTGTCGTGTGGAGGAGCAGCTCTTGAGTGATGCGTTTGGAGAGATGATGGATTTGCGCTGATCCATCCGCACTCCCAGCTTGCCTGGTGCCCCCTGTGACCAATGGCAGGCATTTGCGAGACAGCTGGCGGGGTGAGGGGTGCAGGCGGAGGCTGTGCTACAGGCTCACTGGCCTCTGCACACGGATCAAAGACTCATTAGCATCCCGCTCTCACCAGATCAACTTATTGGCTCAGACAATCTGTATTGCTTTAAATCTTTAGAGAGTTATAAAATTTATTTGTCAACTAAGCAGAGTTAGGATTTGGTTGTTGACAGTTCCCATCCAAAGACAAAAAATGTACATGTTCCCAAAGCCACACATACCGTACATGTCGTCATTCTAGGGTAGGTTTTTTTTGGCAAATGCAAATTAAAAATTATTTCTCAAAGTACTAAAATAGGAGAAATAGGACATTAAAAAAAATGAAGAAAATATCTCATCTGGAAGATCTGGTGACAAACCACCCAAAATGTTTCTGAATTATTTAAGATGTCTCAAGAATTTCCTGAAAGATGTACAAGATAGTAGAATTTACACTGTGGTGGTGTGTGTTTTCTACTCTATTGAATATTATTGTTTGTGCGACTCAATGGATGAAATGAAAGTTGAGCACTCAAAAGATTTCATTCTAATTTAGAGTCTACCACTGACTGACTCCTGAGGAATAGCTAGTTATTTTCCTCCTCTGTCTCCTAAATTTGCTGGACCTAAAATGGCTATTGCAACAGTTCATTATTTACCCTTTGGGTAAACTGTGGAAAGAAGAATTTTTAGAAATGGAAAGGACTCTTTATGCAAGAGGAAGGTCTAGCTACAGGATACTGAGCATTGCTTGTCTGCATAAGGGAAAACGAACGGCGGATGTGAACAACTTTACATTTGGGCTATGTACGTTTGCCCATTTTGACGATTCTCTGTGTAGGCTGTCCAGTCTGCTGGAAATAGCAGAGGCACCAATCTTTCTGCTGTTCATTTTCCTTTTAAGAATCCTCCAGTCCCCATTATGCTATTGCCTGGAAGGGAAGGAAGGCAGCAGCCTGTTTTCCAGTTGGAGCCTGATGCTGTCTGTGTGGATCCTGGGTACTGAGAGCACAGAGAAGATGCAGGCTTTGTGACTCTCACCCTCCAGCGAGGCTCCAGTGCTGATGTCGGCCGTGGCGCTGGCAGGCTGCTAGGGCCGTGACCTCCTGTGACTCCTGTCTACCTGTCCAGTTCACTGAAATGTTAACCCTGGGACGGCCAGCCTCTTGGCTTGGTGGTGTCAAATATAGTCATGGGGGAGGAGAGAAGAAGAGCAGTCATTTAGTTAGAGCCCAAAAGGAAATCATGAAAACTATATAAACATCTTTTTTTTTAAAGGCTTAAAAAAGCCTCACGTTGCACGGAGCAAGCAGGAAACAGCTGTTGAGTGGAGGGGGTAATGGATGGCGGGTCTGGTGAGCAGCGCGGAGGAGATGGCTCTGTGGTCCTGGGCAGGGGTGAGGATGCTCCTGCCAGGGGAAGGGAGTGCGTCAGGGCAATCAATCAAGTCAGGAATTTCAACCATCGGGTCTGCAGTGAGGATTTGCTTCCCAGTGGGTTGCATTTTCTCACTCATAATTCTCTTCAGTGGAAAAGAGAGAGGAGAGGGGGAAACTGTAGGACCATTTGTATTACGAGGGGATCAGATTGAATAAAAACACTTCCCACTTTAAAGCTGACCTGTCATGAGGGACCCGGTGTCTTTTCCTCTTTGCTAAGCGTGTAATTAGGCACTCAAATTCCTAACCACAGACAGAGGTTAGATAATGGGTGTGCAGTTGTTTATAGGACTTAAGATTGACTTTAAAACTGAGATGCCTGCTCCATGAGTCCTTAGACGTCTTCTGAGTCTGAACGTTTCAGATTTCCCATCCTGGCATTTCTGTCCTCTTATGCAGTGACTCTCTGTATGGTATTTTATGCAAATTAAATAGTAGGTCGACAGGCATATTAGAATTTTTAATAGTTTAAATCATTTCGCTCGAGTATCTATAAATTAGATTTTTCAGATGCTTCACTTGTATTCTTACTTACTCATACCAGGTCAAATTCTATTAGACTAATAAGCCACTGCATTTCTTAAGTGATAGTAGTAAAATATGTATAAAAGCTTACTTTCACATCCAGGTTGAGCATGTTGCTAGCATTGGGTTGGGTTTTTTTTTTTTTTTTTTAAATCCTATACATTTTACTAAAAATAGTTTACCAAAAGTAAAGTCTGTTTTAATTTAATTGTGCTTAAAAAAAATCCCATCATCTTCCAGGAATTAGTTACAGTATCGTTAGAATTTGAAAGTGTAGTCAGCAAAAGAAAAATCCCAAATAAAAGAAATCGTATGATCAGGATGCGGACGCGAATCCATTTAGTGATCTTTTCACCTTCATTTCCTGTGCTGGGTATTTCACAGCTAATGGTGAAAGAACAGGATTTAGAGACAACCTGGTGCTCTGCTAGGTGGGGTGGAGGCTTTGCTGGGCGCCTGGGATGGCGGCATCCTCTTGACACTGATACAGAGAGAAGGGTCATAGCCGTGCCAGGACAGTGATAGCGGGGGCAGCTGCCACCCCCACTGGCACACACTGCTTGACTCGGTGCCTAAAGATAACAAAACTAGAGCTACAGGAAAACAGAAGAATTGCATTAGTGGGAGCACTCATCCTCCGGGAGAGATGAGCAGGCTTCCACCTGCCAAAGTTCCGTGAGTAATGGACGACCCCGGAAAAATGCATGGATCCCACCGCTTTCCACTGCCCTGCAACGCTTTTCTATGCCTCTCAGCAATTTTAAATGTATGCTTCTCTATCGCCTTCCCGACTGCCATGCTGAATTGGCAGCTTGGAAAGCCGAACCTCCTCTTTCCTGGAGGGGCTATTTTTTTTCAGTGGGAAGAGCTGCGTTAAACATTTAGAATAGAAGAGGAGAGGAAACCAGGAAAGGAGTAATGTAAATAAAGGCAGCAAGGATGCAAAGGCAGGAGAGTTTAAAACACTGGAGTCGGGCTAGTGCAGAACCAGAGAGTAGGTAACAGGCAATGAGAATAGTGCCTGCCTTCTTCAGCAGAGAGCCGGGGCTTATTCCCAAAGCATTTAAAACATGGAAACCAAGAAACATAAAGAAAAAAAATCCTCCATGCAAAGAAAAGAGTGACCGTGACAATGAGACAAAAATCTGAGGTGCACAAAAGTCAGAACATTTGTTGTACCACAGGGAAACACCATAGGAAGGGTAACCTAGACATCTACATGCTATAAACCTGGAAGCCTAGGGACCATAGGAAAAGCCATCCAAAGAAATTTAAATCGTAATTAATCTAAATTATTTGGCAGTGTTATCTTCAGGCTACCTGCATTTCTGGATAATTCAAGGTTACCCTGGGAACTCCTAACTGCCGTGGTAAGCACAGAGGACTGAATATAGTTAACTCTTTCCTTAAAGACTGAGGAGTTCTCGATGTCAAGTCATCGTGAACTACAAGCTTTAGTTTTGCTGAACACCTGTTTTCTCCACGGAGCGCAGCGTTGAAGAGCATGGCTCTGGAGTGAACCTGAATGCAAACGTGAGCTCTGCTCCTTACCCGTCATGGGATGGTAATAGCAAGTTATTCACAGGATCTTGTGAGGATGCAATGAGATAATGGCTGTGAATCACTTAGCACGGTGTCTGGCACACATCAGCACTCAGTAAATCTTCATCGTTTTATTATTACCACAATCTCCATGTGAGGAGACAGAAAGATCTGTTCATTAATCTGAATACAGTTATCATTTCACCTCTCCTAATCAGACCTTTGTCTTCTCAGGCTCAATTCTCTCTGCCTCTAAAATAAGATATACTGGGAGTTGGATTAGGCAGGCCAGGAGAGGAGTGAGGATTTTACCAATCGAAGATTCCAGAAAGGCGAGCCACAGCTTATGTTTATTGATATCTCCATTCTAACGAATTACTATGTAGTTAGGCACAAAGTCTATTTGTGACTTTTCTGCCATTGCACTAATCATAAAATGGAAATCCACCACTACCTTCTGCTTACTTCTCCTGAAACTGGGGTTCTAGTTTCTAAATTAACTCCACATGCAGCTAATTATCTCTAGTGGGGGATGAAATTTTTATATTATTTTTAAAACATTGTTTAGCCTTACATTACTTTCTAAAAATAATACAAAAACGAAGTAAACAAACCAAAAGAACTCAAAAGCACTGAATTTCACGGACCACCAACTCAGGGCCAGCTCCGTAAGGACCCAGGAGTCCCCTCTCCGTACCGCCTGGGAATGGAGTTTAGCATGTGCATACTCAACAGGGCCCAAGAAATGGGAGGCTGCGGGGCAGACAGTAAGAAGTTTAAACCTAAGAAGTTTTCTGATGAAATCAGAGACTTACATGAACCGCAGGGAAAACTGTGGAGTGGGAAACTGACTCCCCACCTCACACAGGATTTCAGGGAAATCTGATGGGTGAGTCTTAGAACGCATGGGTGCTCACAGGCCCCATTTTATGCTTTTTTTAGAAAATGACATTGAACAGCCCAGAGACCTGTCACATGATCCAGGGGGCCTGCACCATCCGGGTCCCTCCATTACCTCTTCCTTCCCCAGGACAAACCTCCTTCGCATGGAGGAGTTAACAAAATCACAGCCCAAGATGGTATGACAGCAGCTTGATTAATAACGATTATCACAGCAGATGGGAAACTGTAGACAAAACTTTCCATAGAATAAGTCTACCACAGAATTTCCTGATGAGACAGAAGGATGGTTTGCGACCACACACTTATTCCTTACTGAAAGGAATAAAATTGCTGAATTTCTACTCACCCCTTTTGATAATTTTCACAGATCTCCAGTGGCTTACATTTGAGATGCAGACCCCTCCTTCACGTGTGAAATGTACTGCTTACTATGCGGACGTGTGACACTTCGTAGGGCAGCGAATGGCGCGTTCCTCCTTCAATGTATGCGTGTGCGTGTGTCTCTGAGCAAAAGTGACTACAAAGGTAGTCTGCTCGGCGCTTCAGCTCTCCAGTGGCTGTGTATACTTGGACCTCTGCTGCTGAGAGAGCAAGTTTCACACCCACCACCAGAATGCTTTTTGATCATTTGGGTTGTTTGGCTTCATCCTTGCTTTTTGTTGTTTGATTTCGAGTACAGTGCAGATAGCCTCAGCAGACACGAACCATTAATTCTGGAACGCAGAGCCAGCGTCTCCTTTATCCCCTCCCTCCCGCCACAGCCCAGCTCAACACGGAAGAGAAAGGACCTTGCCCTGCTCCTTGTGCTGCGGCAGGACATCCTGGCTGCAAGACAGACCAGTGACCACAGCCAAGGCAAGCCGAAAGCAAGGAAAGGCTCTTCTCTTGGCTCCAAAGAGCCCGCCGGTGCTGGGTAAAGATGCCAGTCAGTGCTCAAGTCTTCAGATGCGGCTCTGTTCCTCCTGTCCTGTACCAAAGGGAGCCCCCTCCAGCAACTTTGCTTAATTAACCTGCTCAGAGAAGCTAGAAAACCCCTTCAGCTGAATAGACCACAAATTGAGCCTCAACTGCCAGCAGGTTGCTGTCGTGTATACTACTCAGAGTATGAACAGCCCTACCAAATACTCTGCATTCCTGCCCCACTCTTAAAGAACCAAAATCAAAAGGAGAATGCATTTGCTGAGCAAACGCGAACACACGCACCTGCCCTGTACCAGTGAGAGGCGTTAGGCAGGGGAAGGTGGGGAGCTGAGGCATTTCTGTACCGTGGAGTTTTAAGCTACTTGCCACCCATGGTCCTGGTAAAGGCCGAGGGGCCGAGCCAGGACACTGGGTGGGAGCTTGCAGGTCTGGGCTCCGGTTCCAGCCTTCTGTCCTGGCTTGCCTGCCTTCCTGCCGGCCTGTTCTTTGGTCTAGTCACTTGTCCTCCCTCACAATCAGCTTCCCAGCTGTAAAAGGTGTCAGGAATTCACGGGACTGTTGCAAGAACCTCTGAAATCATGAAGGTGGAAGCACTTTGTAAACTCTACGGAATTACACGCGTATGAAGTCCCTGGCCATGTCTGAATAGCATGGCGGCTGCCTTCCTCAGGAAGCAACAGGATTGAGAAGTAGGTTAGGGACAGAGGCGCCCTCTCAGCCTCACGTAGCCCCTCTGAGATCCATGTGTGCCTATCTGGCCCCGCTGATAGTCAGACTACCACGGATGGCTCCGTTAAAAAATAGGGCAATGTGTATTGCCTATTAAATAGGGAAATAGGGTCTGGTGAATGTTCCAAGTAAGAGTTCGGGGTCCAGAGAGCCAGAGTTTAAACCACTCCTCTTCCCCTGGCTGTATGACACAGGGCACATTACTTAACCTCAAGAAGCCTCCGTTTCCTCAACTGTAAAATGGGGGTGACATGACATTGCCCTTCTTAGGGTTACAGTAATGATTAAAGGAGAGAATGCACATTAACCATTTGTCCCAGTACCTGGCAGGCAGTCAGGTCAGTAAGTGCTACCCACCCTTTGTACTGTGGAGTTCAGCGCAGGCCTCCAGACTATTGTTCGTAAATATAGTAGGCATGACATGGATTGGTGGTGTTCAACCATTCATTTCAGCTACTTTCTCCAGCCATCCAAGGCTTTGTTCAAATGCTACCACCTCCAGAAAACCTTCCTTGATCCAGTCCCCAAGGCTGCTCCCCACGATGTACTCATTTAACTGTTAGGGTTGGGGCCAGCTTCGTGGGCACAGGAACTGTGCAGTGGTAATGAGCCCTCACTCACAAAGACCCACAGCTGGCTTCGCGCTCTGCTGTCTTTTTGATCAAGGGACCTTGTATTTCCGCTTGGCACTGGTCCCTGCAAATTATGTAGCTGGTCCAGGTGACCATATTTCATTTTTGCCCCAATTCTGTCTTAGAAATTGTGTAATTTGTTGTTAACATGACTTTTAGAATACACAATTTGTCCTCATTATCCATGGGTTCCGTAATTGTGACTTTGCCCACTTGCTGAATTTAGGTAACCCCCCAATCCACACTCGTGGCCCTTTCATGATCAATCGCAGAGGTGTACAGAGTGGAGAAAAACCTGATGCACCCCGTGCACAGCTTCTCAGGTGAGGTCAGGCAAGGGGACGCTCTGCCTGCTTGTCTTCATTTTCAACTTGCAAACAAGTGTCCTCTTCATGGTACATTTAGGGACACAGGTTTTGCGCCTTAGTGCTTTTTGGTGATGCTATTGCTGTTGAAAATGGCCCCCAGGGTCGTGCTGCAGTGCACCCAGCGTCCGTAAGCGCCAGAAGTCTGCGATGTGCCTTACGGACTTACGGAGAAGGTGCATTTCTAGGTAGGCTTTGTTCACCCGTGAGTTATGACGCTGTTGGCCATGAGCTCAGTGTTAATGACTGTGTTAAATATCACGTCTGTGAACAGACACACACATGAAGACAAGGTCTGTATTGATCAATGGACAAAAATGTCGTGACCAGATGCTCACAGGAACCTGACCCCGTGTCTCCTCTAGGAAGAACGGTTCAGTATTCACTGAATTCAGTGTTCACAGAGACTTCATAGAACATTACTACCACAAATAACAGGCATCACCTCTAACTCCCTTAAGGTTGATGACCCATTTTATTTATTTTCTCTCCTTCCCATCATCAGCTTTGCCCTCTTCTACGTGCCTAGGAGAGTGCTATGAATATACTGGTATTCAGAAATGTTAGCTGAATTAAGTATCGATTCTGTCTTTGAGGAAATATCAACAGTTGCTTGTTGATTCTGAGACTTTATGGCTTGTTTCATACTACATCAAGCTCCCTTTGTGAGACTGTGGGTATGTGAACGGCTACTGTGCAAAACTTCTAGCTACTCTCATTTTTTTCCTTGTGGAAATGAAACAGTATAGCAGGAAACAGTTATGGAATAAGGCACCTAAATTCTTTATAGTCCTAAGACAACATATTGAAGACCCAGACTTGAAATGTGTCCAGGAGTTCAGGAAAGAGTTGTCATAGAGTTCTAATGGGATACATAGCAAACGAAGGGGTCTGAATCTTGAGGAAACTTCTGGAGAGGGGAGAGCTCCAGCTCTGAGTTCCTCTTGAACAAACCATATATAAGGGTCACCTGGAATAAACGGCCTGGAAAGAAATGGCACCCACTACTTAGGAGAGAAGTTAAAGACTTGCAGAATAAATAGCCTACTTAGCCTCTATGCAAAGCAGATGGGATGATGGGATCCAGGCCGGGGGTGACCTAGCATCTGCAAAATGCAGAAACAGACTAAATGATTTTTCTCAGTGGTCACTAGGATGATGCTTGTGTCCATTCTGTCACAGGGGAGCCACAGGTGAGCGTATTTGCTTTTCTTTCTTTCTTTTTTTTTTTTTTCTTTAGAGCCAGTGTTTCACCATGTTGCCCAGGCTGGTCTCGAACTTCTGGGCTCACGCAATCCACCTGCCTCAGCTTCCCAAAGTGCTGGGATTACAAGCACGAGCCACCACACCCAGTTGGTGAGCCTATTTTCTAATTATGAAAAATGCCTCTTCTCTATTAGCCGAGTCCGAAACCTGCTGAGGTCTATCATGATCCCCTTTAGGAAGAAGAGAATTTGACTGGGTTATTTTATTCAAGGCAGTTGAGGAATGACAGTGTTGAAAGGAGTCAAAAGGAATGAGCACCTGGCACCTTGACACAACTGCTCCACCCACCCCACCTCCACGTTCGTGGTCCTGGCTGCCGGCTCTGCCCTCCTTCCATGGAGGCATTTCCATAGCTAGATAGGTTTCTACCAAAGTGGCCGTCTTCAAAAATGATCGGCACAGACTGTGAGGTAAACAAGTAAGGCTGAGCTAGACCTGCCCCTGAGAAAGACAAGGTTCAGATCTGAGAGACAACCCACTGACGAAACAGACAAAAAAGCATAGCAGGTAATAAAGAAGCTATGCACGCGTCCTGACAGCTGATGAATATAATCTGCTAGACAATGTGCCTTTTGAGAAGAGAAATTAAAAGAGCCTCACCACCCTCAATGACGTGTCTCTTTGGGTTTGGCTGGTAAAAAGCAATAAGCTTATGTGAATTGAAAGGCAGGCAGGAAAGAGGAGGCTTCGGCTGAAGGAGCAGCAGTCCATAAAGAACTGGCAGGAGGGAGGAGCAGGTAACACGTGCGGGTCCAGAAATAGTGCACTTGGGTTAGAGGGGAGAGTGTGAAGTTGAACGTGGGATGGGAGGCGCGAATCAAACCTCAATTACTCCGTTGAGCTAGATGATAAAAGCCCCATGGATTCAAGGTAAAGGGCTATGTTCTCCAGCAGAAGTGGGGATTTCCCACAAATCTTCCAGGAGGAGAAGGATGTACTTAGAACTGCAATTAGAACGAAATGACAGCGACGGTGGTACATAGATGACTGAGGAGAGATGAGAACAGGCAGAGAGCCTGGTCAGGAGACTCGGCAGGGAAGGAGGCGCTGGGAACCCATGAGCGTGATAAGGAGAAGGCTGGGTCTGTGGTCGCGGAGACTGGGTGATGGAGGAACGGGGGAGAGGCGCAGGGAGAAGGGATTTGGAGACGGGCTTCTGCGCCGCAGTGACTGGGAAGCAGAGGTGTTGGCGAGTGAGGTAGAGGGAACATTTTGGCATGTGGTGTTTGAAGATGCTGGAAGCAATTGAAAGTTGGCAGAGTCTGGATATGACTTCATCTGAATTGCATTTCAGATATTAACTCACCAACCGTGCAGACTTCGTTTCTTTGTTACCTACTAACATTTCTCAAAGAGAGGATGTCCAGGCCCTGATTTCTCAGACCTGGGGTCATCTAGGCAGGGTTTAGCCTGGTTCTGATATACTCGTATGTTTACCCCCAAAGATTCTGAGTGGAGGTTGTAACATCTTTGGACTTCAGGCTACTTTAGGAAATAGTAAAATCCGTATCTTACTCTTTCTGCCACCACCCTCCCCCTATCTTACCCTTCCAATTAAACACACACTCACACACATACACACACACACACACACACACAGAGAGAGAGAGAGAGAGAGAGAGAGAGAATGAGAGAGAGAGAGAGATAGACAGACAGAGAGAGAGAGTTGAGTTTCTGTTATTCAAAGCTCAGTGCTAGCAATGGTGAAGGATAGATACAGAGCTCAATAAGATACCATGCTTTCTTCAAAAGAGTGTACAATCTGGTGGGGACTCAATGGTTGGCTGGATTAAGCACTGTCCATGCACTGAACACTA